GACCTTCGTTGCTACCACAGAGCGGAAGAGGATGCTGTTTCATTCCTGCGAACGAGTCAATAAAGTCGTCCTTTTTTGCCTGGTTTCTGTTATAGTTTGATAAATGTTCGCTGCGCTCAACCGCCATGAAAACGACCTCTCAACAGGAGCGCAGAGGGAAGGTGATCATCAGTTTTCCTTTCTTACTTTTGTTCTCTCATTTGTGGCTCATCCAAACATTTCTTTAGGAATCTGATAATCTAAGCAAGAACCGCAATTTCTTCAATACGATGCATGTCAATTGTGATTTTGATACATTGGTTAATCTGGTATTGGTATTCCCTATTTTTCCTTCTGCGGTTTTCATCACGCGCTCATTCGTTGAAAAGTTGTTCGACTGGGGAGGCCTTGCACACACATTTTTCTGGCATTATTGTTTTTTGTTGCCATAGAAATTGGTTCATCCTATGATGTTATTTGAGACCAAACAATCATTTGGAAAGAAAATGCAATTATCCGTTTTTTATGTTTGACATATAATGAATAGAAACTGGGCGTTTTCAAATTTCATCAAGAAGGAATATAGGTCACTTGTTGGATAACTTATTGTATCTATAGTTCAGGATGTTGAAACTTAGGGAAAATTTGTAGCAATCTGTAACTTGCTCCTCACAAAAAACAGGGAAATAAATCGCATGAGGTGTGCGTGTGTGTGCGTGTGTTTGTTCCATTACATAATTTGATGTGTCTTGTCCAGGAACATGTTCCTTATACCACCAGATATTCTAATCGACCGCGGGGAACGAATGAGAGGAAAATGGTTTTATTGGTCTACGTATTGGTTTGAATGCAAGAAACTACTTGGATAGACGATGCAAGTGTATATGAGAAAAATAACTGAGAAAAATCAATATTGAAGACTCTGTTTCCTACGTTAATGTTCTGAAACCGTATGGCTCAGTCATAAAACCTGTCTGAAGTCAACAATTGATCAAACTGTTTTGTAGAAAGAACACTAGTTTCTAAAAACATAGTGTATCCCAGGTAGTTCATTTATATCAATCCACTTCACAAGCACTGATGATGTCACCTCAGCTGGTTCCTAGGATAGACAAGGTGTGACTTAAAAAACCTTTAGTACTTTTCACTCGTTATTTATCCAGTTATTTTTAAATTATTGTCCAGTGTATCGCTTAAGGAAACATATACAGTGAAAATTTTATTTTAATCTTCTTCCGAGCTATCCAACATGGATTTCAAGTAACTGTTCATATGAATTATTAGCTAACGCAAGTATGCACTGAGAGAATTTTCTCTCTCAAGTGAGATGCCATTTGCAACTGTGACCTGTACAAAAATGTCACCTGCCACGCATTTCAGCTCTTACCCTGATGTATAACACTCTGACTATCGTCAGATTGGTTTCTCTCAACACTTGGTGTTTCGAGCTTCATTGAAGGAATTGAGTGTGATATCGCATCATATCAGACGCAACATATTTGCAATTATATTCACTTATATTTTTGTTTTATTGGTTCGATGCTATAGAAATGTATAATTGCGATAATGATGGCTGGTGCAGTAGTTGTGAAATAACAATGCTTCAGTAGAAAACCATAATCGAAATTTAATTATAAAATGGCCCACCGGCAGGTTACCGTTATAACACTTCTTTTTTTCAATGTTCTATTTACCCATCTTTGTTTTTGACCACTGTAGCATGGAACCCGAAAATGTGACCGTTAAACAATATTTGCCAGTTTCCTCAATTACCTGCGCACCCTAACCACTGATAAATACTTTGCAGTCGACTAATTCGTCTGTTTCTAAGACAGAAAAACGCTTTCGATTACATTCCAATCGCAGCTGATAGGCGGATATGACCGATACACAAACTGCATAGATGTGAAAAACAATAATTAACAAGATCGACACATTTTCTACGACTCACCTCGAGTGGGATGCGTTACTAACCTTTATCGGTGAAAAATGACTTCCGTGGATGTATTTCGAGAGTGATAGTTATCAAAAACCTGTCTGATCAGTGCAACGAATTTCGTGCAGTGGAAGATAAAGTTAAGAATGAATTCTATTTTCCCACAGTTATCGATATAGAGGCATGACACGGGAAACTGGAATGCATTTCAAAATGAGAGTCATGCAGAGCGGGTTCGATCAAAACCTGTACTTCTCACAGAACTATTGTTCCAATGTTTCCCGATTCCAGTCCAATACTGTAAGCCAAAGGTGAACTGTTTGGTTCTCCTTCCCGGGTTCTAAATATTTTCATCCATTTCAAGATAGCGTATATTAACCGAATGTCAAATCATTTTTGCATTACCTCATACCCAAAGTCCGAAAAATTTATTGAAAATGTTCCGTTCAATATCTGAACTGGTTCTCATTATCATATACTGTCAAACAGTGCGGCTTTTAATGGCCAGAACTTCGATTGCTGTTGTTTTTTCTATTAAGCCGAGCTATAATTCATGTCACAACAGCGTATATGTACTGTATGTTTTTTAAATAAACGTTATTGAGGACAGTTTTACTTACAAAACTGGTTCTCAGAATCACTGTTTCTATGCCTTTTCCATCACCGTGATTGTTTTTCATCCTTATTTCTGCTTTCTGTGAAAGCAATACATTACAAATCGTTTTCCAAGATCCTTAGAATAAGTTCCCGAAATTGAGGCAGTCATAAGGATGTGTTGGTTGATTTTCTCGTTTGCATGCACTTTTATGGAATAATTTGTGACACAACAATATTTACAAAAGGGGAATTAATTAAACTTTATCGAATCCTAAAACACATTTCCACTTCTGATATCTTTGGATGCTGTTCCATCTACAAGATAGCAGTATGGCACATCTTTTTTGTATTTCAGTTATTCGTAGAACGTTTGATCTTGTAATGGAAAATTTGCTTTCACGAGAGATGTATTATTCATTTCGGATGCTCAAATAGAGATTTATACACTGCGTAAACATACAAAATGCTGAAAGTTAACCCGTTTAGTGTGACCTGATTTATTCCTTGTAGCGCCGTATAGCGCTCTTCAGAAGCCTAGTTATACATTCAACCTAGATTGATGATAGCATGTTCAGATATTAGAGCTCTAAGTCCTGAAGTCACTCGAAACGCTTATCACTGGCCGAAAACCAGTGTCCAATCGCCTAATTTCCTTCGCAGTGGTGCAAACACTGCTTAGAAATCCTCTTACTTATTAATGAGTTATTATTTGTTTTTTATTTAAATGATGTCAAATCATTACTGAAAAACACAAGGTGTACATAGTGAACGTTTTAATCGAGTCGATATCTTTTCAGGTTGCACGATATCTTAAGAAGGGGATGTTGTAACCGATTATGCTGTCCCCGGGTGCTGCCTAGCTTTTGAATTCGGTTTATTAGGAGATTTCTTTTTAATAAGAAGGAAAGTAGTTTGTTGGAGGTTAGAAACGTTTGATCCTCGTTAAGTAACTCGTGAGGTTAAACCATTAATTCTATTTGATAAAGATGCAGGCGGCACATATATAGCAACAATTACTCTGACCACGTTCGGTTGGTAGTGGCATAAATCTTAATTGATAATGTCGATACCAAAGTTCACGCCTCGAAGACAAATGTTGCTGACGCTAAGAGGTCGGTCGAATGCGGTTCCGTTATTCTAGAAGAGTGAAGACAGGAGGCCTCGTAATATTCATCATCCAACAGATTATTTCGGAATTCATATCATAACTTTAATGTGATGGCAAATACGATTCACGCTTTCATCTAACACAGCCATACTACATATCAATCTCTTATGCTAATTTAAAAACCTTGGGACAACAACTCCAAAGAACAACGTTTCTGAGGTTATTAGGCCTTTATCCAAATTGTAGTTAAATTTCTCATTTCATGATTAGACTAAACGTTGTCATTTGAAATTTTCTTGCATCCGTTTGCAATTCAAACCATTCACTATTGGGTTCGCTTCACATCGGAATTCCTAGGTGCAATCGAGACCACGACTCATTCAACCTAATATATTTATTATACATTTTCACATACGTCTGAGTTCAGACTGTGAACCAAACAAATCACGGTAAAATAATGTGGTTTTCTCGTGGGTGCCATATTGCTAGGTTGTTCTGGCCAAGGCAGGTGAAATTTTCTTGGGGAGTACACAATCGGAGCCTTGGGATACCATAGGCCTGCCCGGCAAAGTAGAGGGGTCTGGGTGAAAACCCCAATCTATTGGGGACCATTGTCCAGTTCAGTGGGTCGTACACTCTTTGGACGGGGTCAAATATCCAAGGTGCCCAATACACCTCAATACCCAATCGAGCCGGTAAATAGTGCCATAACCAGGCAGGTTTTGGTGTGTAGTGAACTGCCAGTGTTTCACCGACCCAGTTATAGTCCCATATGGTTGTTTTTCGTCCTTCCACTCTGATGGGGAAAACTTTAGTGAGCAGGGCTTCCTCAAGGGGAGATTTTTGTGAAGCCTGGTCGATTGGGAACATATTATGAGGTGCAAGGCGAGTGTGATGAACGAACAGATGAGATACTCAACTCCAAACAAACTGAGGCTTGCGCAGGCTATGAATGGGAACTAAAGCGTTATCTTTGAAGAGAACAGTTTTTCTGCGCCTAAAAACATACTTACCCAGTGTATTCCCTACTAAACAATTGTACTCACTAGCCGAGTTATTTATGTCTCAGTCCATGTGACACGCCATGGTTAGGACTGTATGCCTGAGTTATCTTCCAAAAAAGTATCAGTTTGCATTCGATTACTGTACATATACTGCTTCTGTTGCAATTGGTTAGATATAATTGTATATTAAATATGAAAAGTTAGAGTGCACCGCTGCCAAAAGTCGTTGCAATCCAAGAAGACAACAGTGAAAAGGGTTTTGTAAACCCTTTTCCATACTGCTGTTCAAGTTTGGTTGCTTTTCAAATAATTCTCCGAACACAATAGTGATTACTCATGAGTAATACTACTTGATTTACAGCTAAACTCCGAGATCATGGATCCCGATGGTGATGCGGCCGCTTTTGAGCGAATGGCCGAAGACAGATCTAACTATTTGATCCCGGATCCGTTAACTGCGGAACAGGACCGACCTCATAATCGGTCAAACGGTGACTTTCGAGGTAGAAATTCACGGAAACCAATGCCCTTCGGGAAACCCCAATCCAATGATGAGGTCAGTCAATTTTGGGATGAGCACAATTATTGGGATCATTTAGTATGATAGGTTTGTAATCAGATGGCTCTATTTGCAAAACAAAGTCGCTTTTGAAAGTTTGCAAGGATTCCAGTGCCTTAATGTTTATCAAAAATGATTTATATTCTGGCACTTTGCATTGTGCAGCCCACAGTTTACAGAAGTCCTAAACTTAGTTTACGCTCTGGGTAATCAGAACTTGGCTCATAATAGACTGACGTTAGCTCATAAACTTTGCACCAATAATTATAGAAAGATAATTGATCCAAGAGAGAGCATTTTATGAACGGAATTAGATATATTCAACAGTTTAATTATGTTCAAGTTTGAAACAGCCGTGCAAATATCTTGTTGGTAAAATGTCAGGACGCTTGTGACCAAGCGATTTCCTTTCTGATTAGTAAATTGCTTTGGCCCATTGAACACAAGATTCAAACCGCTCCTCGTCCACCAAACTTAGATAATAGGCAACAACTTATGTCGTCCGTTGATAAGCCACGGATAAACAAGTTAGGTCACATGTGGTTTGACACTCCAAGTTCCAGGGCTTCGGTTGCCATTCTCCATTCTCTTCCGTCTGTCATTCATCACATGAAGGTAGGTGCTAAAGTATTTGTGTGATGCTGTTAGGGAACCTTTTTGAGCCTTGAGTAGTTTCATTGAACGGACTGGGAAACCAAACTTGGTGTGTCGCTTCTGTGAGTGTCGTTCACCATTAACTAAACAAAGTTTATGTTGAATATTTGTATGCTTTAAGGAAGACCAATTATTTTTGTGGGGAGAACAAAGGTCAGCGCTGTGTCCGATGTAGGTATAGAATCGGTTAAATACACAATTACGGAAACACCTTCCAGTTTGTTCATACCATGTGTGTTTTAGACACGCCGGGCAGGCTTCTATTATCCTCATGGTTATCACAATTACCATTCGGCACAAAAGTACGTCAGGCGCCTGGGCTCTTTCAGGATAGTCGTGGTTCATTATTTAACTCCGTTCTCGTCTACTGTTTCAAATTGCACTCAAAGAAAGCCAAATAAAGCACTAAAGATCATATGCACTGGTGCAAATACGTCATGGTGATCTCATTTGACAAGTCTAAAAGTATCTTCACGTTCCTCTCACAACTGTCCACGGGACGCAACTGCGATATGAATCAGCATAGAGCGCTGAACCGATTAATGTTGACTCAAAATCACCCATTTCACACAGCAGACATTCACTTCAATTGTGGGACTCCGATTTACAGTGAAAGCAGTTGTTCGCCTAAAATTATGTTTATCATTCTTCTTACGAAGATAAACCTAATAAGATCAGACAGCTTGACAGACGACCAATAGCTTTACGGGAATCGTGATTTTAAATCAATTTCGGGGCAAAATATTTTGAAACATCTTCCCATGGTAGAGTCTTGAGGAATATGACTAAGTGCATCATATGATCAATATCTGAATGCAAATGTATTTACTACTCGAGCCCATTTTACATCCCTCCAAGCGGCCAGATGTGGTGATCATCACTTACACCTCTGTATTCCATAGATCATTTTATCATTTGCGGGTTATTATGATTATTTGAAAAAATCAATAATTTACGTAAATATTTTAACCGATTAGAAAGGCCACATTGAAAAAATAACTGTTGTTCTCCTCCATTCTTCTGGGATTTAAAATTTGTGTAAACAGTGCTGACATAAGCCAATTAGATTAGACTAGAAAACCTGTTACTCGGTGTTTTGAACTCATGGTATGCTAATAATCGGTAGGAGTTATTTGCGGAACTTCAGCCCTTTAAGGTTCGAGTCGCAGAATCACTTTGAAAATGAAATACTGAATTTTTCAGGTGTCATTCTGTAAAGAGAGCGTATGGTTGATTTTTGTTCGACCCGAGAACCCAAAACAAACAAACAATCCATTGTGTTTAAAGTATCCATATAAACGATTCAGAGATTGCTTCTGTCTCACAATTGCACGCTGAACATGTCCCATCATTTTGAGGGGTGAGAAAGGAAAGGGGATCGGCAACTAATCCATTGCCATAATGTGAAATGTGATCTCGTCATTAGTTAAAAAATCGATCAAAGTGCCGTGTGAAATGATTTTTGATCTACTTGGATTGCACATAAGACCATTAGAGCTAAAAGGTCATTCACTGTATACAAGGATGCATTATCGCATGCCACAGACAATACTGAGTTGTTGTTACCAAAAAATAATCGATTTTCAGACATGTCTACCACAGCAACAATCATTTCGGTATGTATTTTTTTCGAACCTTCAATCATGTGCTATTTCAATGAAGCATGCAAGATGCTAAGCATTGCTTGGTTAACCAAATTAGGTCATTGTTAAAAAGAAATGCATCAATAAGCCCAAGGTACGGTATCCAATGGTGGAAGACCTTCAGACACCAAATGATACGGAGCTTATGTGAAACCAAATGTTTACTTAAAACTCGGGCTAAACGTTAAATTTACCTTCAACTCTGACTGTGCGGAGAAACGTGCACTACGAACGACAATAAACAAGCATGAAATGGGTTTCGACTAAACACAAGGCTTTTTAATGATTCAAGTGGAATAGAGCATAATGAATCATTTTCAAATCACTCAGACCTAATGACTGATATATAGTTTGCAATTTACCCTGCTGCGATATTGTGTCCATAAAAATGTGAATAATTTGTTCTACTGTGGGGAATCTCACGACACATTGTTAGTAGTCTCTCTGGATTATACGGAATTCCACTTCAGTGATTTCAATCTTTATCATATTCGAGAACTTATATTTGAGAATAAGCAGTTATGTGGTTTGATTGCGGTTAGTATGTTCTGATATGTCGAATGTTATACCTGGTGTAGTGTCGAAAAATCTCACGAATTAGGCTTGCACCTGTCCTTAACTTAATCCTCATCAAAGTGAGAGACTATGGTTGTTTCTCAAAACGTTTGGTTTCTGGAATAAATTGCAATCGCAGGGAGTGAAACCCACATCAATGAATGCGGTTTGATCGAGACCCCACAATAGGATACTGATTCATGTGTACAACTACGGGATATCGGACAAAATTGCACGTCTTCAAACATGAAACGATCGAAGGTGGGTCGCCGGTGAACTCAGGCGTGATAGGACAGAGCAAGACTGTTCGAAAAGGCCGATGATATGCCCACATCGGGCTGAAGCTTTGGATTGTCACATTAAAGTACATAATCATTGGTTTGTTCGCTTATTAGCTCGAAGTACCTTGGTTGTTCTACATTTGTGTGGCGAAACAACAACATTTGGTGAATAAGCTTGCTTTCAGTGATTCTTCTATTTACTGGTGCCTCATATAGATGAAGGGAAAAAGACAGGGAGGCAGTTTTTGGTATTTGCAACATAGAAATTGAGGGTTTGTGAGGTGAGTGCTCAGACATTGACTTCAGAATAGGTGAATATTGGACTGAAATATTAGGCGAGGCACTTTGGAAAAATTGCCATTCTAGGGTGGGAGTTATCATGAACTATTGTTGTGCTCATAGTGGGCTTTGTTCATTTTAGCCCCCAGCGCCTCCTTAGACCGGACTTTGGTCATTCAATATACTAAGCGCAACGATTCTCGCACATCTACGGTGTGACTTTTCTGGGCCAGATCAATAACGACCGCACTCACACCTTCACTCATCGGTACCCGAATGAGTCAGGCTGAGTGGGGTTCTCTCATTCGATCAATAAAGCTTCTGGTGATTTGATCCAGTTCCACTTGCACCATAGAAGGAAGTTTACTGGTAGACGCAAAGAGAGAGCATTTACATTAGTAGCCTGTCCTTTAGCTGTAATGGAAGAACTGATTTAGAGTAAATGTGCCATTTTAGTGAGAAATACTTATTTTCCACTGCATCCCTCAGTGGTTAGCTCATTGTGCTCAGAAGACATTCACCTTTTAAAGACGATGAAATTAAATTTTTCCCAGAACGATCAGTGGTCCTTCTGGTATCCATCTTTTAGGAATATTGACTCAACTTTACCAATTCGTCATCCACTGTGCCTAGAGAACAAAGCCTTTTAGCCCCGATTGAAGAGGCACTGTGTTTAGCTCCGTTTGCACTACGATAAGTACCATCGTGCAAGGGCTATGTATTTTTTGCATATACTTTTCGTCTGAGAGAGAAATCTTCACGGTGTCACTAGAAAGTATCAAGAAACACTGTCTCCTGACCAGATTCCATCTCTCTAACGTTGACCTTATATTAGGATGAGTCCGATTAACACTGTCTAATAACTTTGAACAACTTTATGAGTTGCCAATAACATAAATAATCTCATCAACAGAACGTCTGTATAGGACACACTGATCTATACAACTGGACAATATCCCATTCCCCAGATTTTCCACCAATGGAGGGCACTAATGGTTAGTCCGTAACGAGTCCATCTTTTTGACAATGCAGACAACCGTGAAACCGAAATTGAACAAAGAAAGTGCGTTACAGACGGAGTTTCCTTAAGCGATCCTACATAAATCCGACGTTCCTGTTTGTACTTCAATGTAGTCGCACAAAAATCAATTGTTTGCTTCAAGAGAACATACGGAAGTAGCGATGTAACATCTAAAGTTCGAAGTGCCCCAACCCAAGATTTCAGTCGAATATTTTCACTCTACAAGGGATTGTACGTCATATTATGCACGTTCTAAATCTGTCTCCTTGTTTTGTTCACGTTAGCTATTTAACGTGCTGCAGTGCCGCAGTAGATAGAGCACTGACAGCAAACTTGTTCGCCACATCTTTATTTTTTAAATGAATTTCTCCGAATTATTTACTCAAATGTATGGTAATTGAATACGTGGAGCACGATAGAACATATGAAAACTTTGTGATCTCGCAGTATGTGTTCGGTATGTATTTGAGAATCTTAATGGACGACTTTCATTTGAACTGTATCACTTGCCTTTTTTGGCAAACACCATCAGGTAGATCCAAACACGATGAGAAAACTTTCAGTTCGTGATTTTCTGAGTCCATGAATAGAGATTAGGTTTGTATAAGTCGATGGTGAAGCGCTAGACGTAGGAATGAAAAAGATGCCTCAAAAAGAAATCCACCTCACTAGTTAAATAAATGCGAATGAAAAAACCCAGTGGCGACCAGATGAAAAATCCACGGGAAGTTTTGAACCGTTTAGCCAATCTTTTGGTTCACAAAACCAAACATTCACTGATAAAATCTTTTCCAATAAAAACCAGACCCAATTCACAACTTCGCAAGGGATTTAGTCTATGAGACTAGTGTTATCTGAGTAGGTTATGCGTTTGTCAAAGCATAGTTTTACCAGGTTTATTGTTGATGAGTAACTGACAAAAGATTGAGGAATTCCAGGTTTTTTATTCAATGATCGGAACAGAATACGTCCAGTAATAATGATGTCTACACCAATACAGAAAAGTCAATACGAGTTTTTGAAAGCACATTAACTGGCTTCGTTCCTACACTCCCATTCCACAAACATGCAACAGTGTTAGATTGTGAGAACGGACCTCATATATTGTTTCAGTAGGCGCCATTTATGGATCATCTGTTGCCTCAATTTTGTTCCCTTGAGCCATTTGGAACGAATCAGGATGTAAAAGCACGCCCGATGTGGGGACGGACCCATGTTTTTAGGGCGAGCTCATTCTGACGTCTGGTGAAGCATATACATATGAAACATAACGAGTTATTTTGATGTGATCGAATTGTCTTGAGAATAAGAAAACAGCAACGAAAAACGCATGTTCATCTGATTTATAAAACGGTCAATTTCGGGAATGTTTACCCTGATGGCCAAGTTTGAATGTTAAACAAAAAAATGTGTGGATAATTCCTGGCGAATCAATATACAGAAAATATAGGATTAATTCATTACTTTTTTTATAAACATGCAACTTAGGAACAGACAAAACTGTTTGAAAACAAAAATCCTATGTAAAACGTATTGGAGTTACCTTTTGGGAGGTTCGGTTGTTAAAATACTTCCTTTTGGAGCAATCATTTTCATGAACGTACAATTACCGGTTGATTGTATTCGTTTTAATTTTTAACTTGTGGTAGAGGTCTGTGGACAACGTCTTTGGTGACAACCCCAAACCGTTTGACCTTACTGACAAAGATACTCGCTTGCTATCGCGACGACAAGTGGCTCGCGATTCTGGCGCCATTCCCGATATAGA